AGACAACTGCAAGATAGAACGGACTGTTCTAAACTTGGAAAGAAAACTATAAAGCACAGGGTAACCTCAAAGAAAAATGACAAACCTTCACGTCTAAATAAAAAAAAAGGACCAGCACAAATATTTAGCTACCAAAACAATAGCAACAAAGGAAGTGATAACACGATTCATAAATAAAACAAGCTCAGCATAGAAAATTAAATGGAACAAAGAAATCAACACCACGAGAAAGCACATAACAAAAATGACAGCAACAAATTCATATTTGCCTACAACATATCTGGCAAGGGACTTATCTCTAAGATTTATAGAAAACTCCAATGCCTCAACAGCAAAGGAATTAACAATCCAATTGAAAAATGGACAGAAGACATGAAGAGACACTTCACCAAGGAGGATATTCAGGTGGCCAGCTAATATATGAAGAGATGTTCATGATAATTGGCCATCAGAGAGATACAAATCAAAACAATGAGATATCCTCTCACCTCAGCACTGATGGCAAGGTTCAACGAGACAGAATATAACCAATGCTGGTGGGGATGTGGAGAGATTGGGACTCTCATACACTGCTGGTGGGACTATGAAGTGATACAACCACTGTGGAAAGCAGTATGGCAATTCCTTAGAAAGGTGGAATTGGAGATACCATCTGATCCAGCAATCCCATTACTAGGTACATATTCTAGAGAGGTGAGAGCCAGGACAGGAACAGATATATGCAGACTCATGTTCATCACAGCACTATTTACAATAGCAAAAAGATGGAAACAACCTACATGCCCATCAGCGGAAGAGTGGATAACCAAACTGTTGTACATACACACAATGGAATGCTATGCAGCACTAAAGAATAATGTAGAGTCTGCAAAACCCCACATAATATGGATGAATTTGGAGAACATTATGCTGAGAGAAATATGTCAATCACAGAAGGACAAATATAGTATTAGTTGTTGCGGAAGGTCAAGGAAAGGTTTATACATGGAGGGAAACTTTCTTTGTTGATTGCCAGGGGTGGGAGGGGAGGAAAGGAGAGGGAACACTGCAACAACAACAAAAAAATGCATTGATCTATGTCACTTTAGTTTTGTGTATTTCACTGTACATAAATTGTATTTCAATAAAATGCATTTAAAAAAAAAAAAAGAAAAATACATCTGGTTATTCTGGTACAGGTGGTTTTCAGATCACAGGGGAAACACAACACAACTGGAAGTCCCTGAAAAGTTTTACACACAAGCATGATGTAGTCAGATTTGCTTTGAAAAACTACCCTGACAATGTGGAAAATCAGTTGAAGGGAGACTCAGTTAAGCAGGGCTAAAAAAATTTTTTTAATTAAGAGCTAAGAAATGGAAAGTGTGCATCTTGATGACTGACAGGATTTCAGGAGGGAAGAGGAGTCAACAGCTCACGATGATTTCTTGTTAGGATGCTTATATGCTCAGGTATAGCAAGGACTGTGAGGCTGGCACAATATGGGCCATGTTTTCCTCTTTTCCTCTATTGTATGTAGGGTTGCTATGAGCCGGAGCTGACCTGACAATATCCAACAACAACAACAACATTCATGCTCCCTAAGCCTAAATTTCTGGTATTATAGATAGAGAGCCTTGGTCACAATGACAAACCTACATGGTCTTTCCTGTCAAAGATGACGCCAATGCCTATGACAAGTGCAGAATTTGGAGCCAGGCTACCAAACAACTAAACCCACTCTGTTGAGTCAGATCCAACTCATAGTGACCCCTCCTTGGGTTCCCAAGGTAGTATCACTATGGAAGTAGATTGCTAATCTTCCTTCCAAGGAGTGGCTGGTGGGTTTGAACTGCCAGCCTTCTGGTTAGCAGTCAAATGCCTCAGGCACTAAGCCACCAAAAAACTAGCTGGGTTCAAATCTTGGCTCTACAATATAAAGGCTGTGTGACTTTAGGCAAGTTATTGAACTTCTCTGTACTTGTTTTCTCACCAGTGAAATGTGGATAATAATAGTACCTACCTCTGAAATTGTGACGATTAAATAAGTTGCTATTGTTGTTAGGTGGCATCAAGTTCGCTCCAACTCATAGCAACCCTATGTACAAAAGAATGAAACACTACCCATTCCTGTGCCAGCCTCACAATCCTTGCTATACCTGAGCTCATCGTTGTAGCCACTGTGTCAGTCCTTCTCATTGAGGGCCTTCCCCTTTTTTGCTAACCCTCCACTTTACCAAGCATGATAGCCTTCTCCAGGGAATGGTCCATTCTGACAACATGACCAAAGTAAGTGAGACGAAGTCTGGCCATTCTTACTTCCAAGGAGCATTCCAGCCACACTTCTTCCAGGACAGATTTGTTAGTTCTTCTGGCAGTCCATGGTGCTTCCAATATTCTTCTCCAACACCACAACTCAAAAGCATCAACTCTTCTTTCGGTCCTCCTTGTTCATTGTCCAGCTTTCACATGCATATGAGGTGACTGAAAACACCACCTTAGTCTAAGGCACACCTTAGTCTTCAAAGAGACATCTTTGCTCTTCAACCCTTTAAAGAGGTCTGCGGTGGTTAAGTTTGTGTGTCAACTTGGCTGCGCCTGGTTGAGTAGCTGGGCAGCTAGTGGTAGTTATTCCCCATGATGACACTGCCAATCAGCTCCATGGTGGGACCTACTACAAGCAGCTGAGAAGCTGCTTTAGGGATGGGGTCTGCTTCCGTATATAAGAAACAGCTTTGGGGATGGTCTCTAGCCTATGGCACGCTTGGACCCTGCATGTAGCCATGTCATTGTTCTGCAGCCTATCATGCTCTAGTGACCTTGGGACTTACAATGGACTTGAATTAATGGCCTGCCATGTAGTTTGGTAACATTGGGACTATGCCATTGTATTTGTTGACCTTGGGCTTGTTAGCCTCAGCAGCCAGTAGCTGTCAGAGTGAAGAGATGGCCTCTAGCTTCAGTAGGCCAGGAGCTAGAGGCAGAGACAAAGCCCAAGGTAGAAGGGCTTTCACACAGCCCCTAGAGCCTGGCACTTTGAACTTGGACTGCTAGCCTCCCAAACTGCAAGAGAATAAACTCCTGTTTGTTCAAGCCATCCCATTTGTGGTATATTCCTGTCAGAGTGGTACTAGGTAACCAGAACAAAGTTTTTCACAAATTTGCCCAATGCAATATGTTGTCTAATTTCTTGACTGCTGCTCCCATTGGTGTTGATTGTGGAACCAAGTAATATGAAATCTATGACAACTTCAATCTTTTCTCCATTTATCATGATGCCACTTACTGGTCCAGTTGTGAGAATTTTCATTTTCCTTATATTGAGGAGTAATCCATACTGCAGACTGTGGTCTTTACTCTTCATTAGTAAGTGCTTCAAATCATATTCACTTTCAGGAAGGAAGGTTGTGTCACCTGCAAATCGCAGTTTGTTAATGAGTCTTTCTCCAATCCTGACGCCATGTCCTTCGTCATATAGTCTAGCTTCTCAGATTATTTGCTCAGCATATAGATTGAATAAGCATGGTGAAAGGATACAAACCTGACGCACTCCCTTCCTGGTTGTAAACCATGTGGCATCCCATTGTTCTGTTCGAACAGCAGCCTCCTGGTCTATGTACAGGTTCCTCATCAGCACAAGTGTTCTGAATTCCCATTCTTCTCAATGTTATCCATAATTTTTTATGATCCTCACAATCAAATGCCTTTTTGTAGGCAATAAAACACAAGTAAACATCTTTCTGGTATCCTTTGCTTTCAGCCAAGATCCATCTGACATCAGCAATTGATATCTCTTCATTCCATGTCTTCTCCTGAATCCAATTTGCATTTCTGGAAGTTCCTTGTCAATATACTGCTGCAACCATTTTTGAATTATTTTCAGCAAGATTTTTCTAGCATGTTATGTTAATGATATTATTTGATAATTTCCACATTTTGTTGGATCACCTTTCTTTGGAATGGCTACAAATAAGGATCTCTTCTAGTCAGTTTGCCAGGTCACTATCTTCCAAATTTATTGACATAGACAAGTAAGTGTCTTCAGCATGGCATCGGTTTGGTGAAACATCTCAAAGGTATTCCGTCAATTCCTGGAGGCTTGTTTTTCACCAATTGCTTCATTGCAGCTTCAACTTCTTTCTTCACTACCATTGGCTCGTATTCACATGCCACCTCCTGAAATGGATGGATATCAATCAATTCTTTTTGATACAGTGACTCTGTGTATTCCTTCCAACAATTTCTTCCAGTTATCTTCAGCTTCAATTTAAACGTGCATATGAGCAGTTGATGGTCTGTTCCACAGTCAGCTCCTGGCCTTGCTTTGGCTGAAGATACTGAGCATCTCTATTGTCTCTTTCCACAGATGTAGCCCATTTGATTACTGTGTATTCCATCAGGTGATACCAAAACCAAAAATGAAACTCACTGCCATTGAGTCAATTTGACTCACAGCGACCCCTCCTTGGGTTTCCAAGGCAGTATCTCTACAGCAGTAGATTGCCCAATCTTCCTTCTGAGGAGTGGCTGGTGGGTTTGAACCACCAGCCTTCTGGTTAGCAGTCAAATGCTTTTTTCACTCCATCTGGTGAAAGCCACCATTTATGTTGTTGAAAAAGGTATTTGTAATGAGTAAGTCATTGGTCTTGCAAAATTCTATCATGCAATCTTCAGCATAATTTTTACCACCAAGGCCACATTTTCTTTCAACTACTGGTTATATTTGTTTCCAACTTTTGCATTCCAATCACCAGTAATAATCAATACATCATCACTGAATGTTTAGTCAATTTCAGACTGCAGAAGTTGATAAAAAAAATCTTCAATTTCTTCATCATTGGCTTTGGTGGTTGGTGCATAAATTTGAATAATAGTCTGGATTTTTGCACTGCATTAATTAACCAGGGGGAATGAGTAGCTAACATCCATTCAATTGTATTCTCTTGTATGTCAAAGCTTGATAAAATTTTCTTAACAGTCTGCTAGTACATTTTGAGATAAAGTACTTAAATTTCACTTACCCTTGTGCCTTCTTCAGCTATTTCCAAAATCTCACACTTTGACCACGTGTTTCTTAAACTTGACCACACAACACATTTGGATCCAACTGTGAATCCTTTCAGTGCATAAGTGCTCTCTGGTTGAGCTGCTAAATTGAACAAAGTGAAGACTTAATTCTTTAGTAGTAGATACACAAGCAAAACATTTTCCATCTGCATTTAATATTCCTGTATAATCAATATTAGCTAATCAGTACACCAGTATAATGTGTACTAATTTTGTCCCTTTTCCTTGATTTTATGTAAAATTTTTCCAGTGTCTCATCGCCATATAATTCCCTTAGAAACACCACCATCATAGGGATGTGAACCTGATTTCTAACAATGAAAATTACTGCTACAACATGGTACTGTTGCTGCAAGTGGTGTGATCTATTGTTACAAGAGCCATTTCAATAATGAAACAGCAGTAAGTGAGCAGATATTTATTCTTGTCACAAAGTCAGTACTTACTATCATTGAAATGTGATAATGAGAATTAAGTACCTAATGCTAGGGCAACATTTAAATAAATTATGGTATATCCACAGGATTGCATACTATCCAATTAAAAATATTCTGAAAGCGTATTTAAGGGGTTAAAATTTAAGATTCAATAGTGTATGGTCTCTATTTATTTTTTAAAAATTATATGTAGCCAGACACACACACAGGAACGCTGATGGTGCAGTGGTTAAAACACTCAGCCACTAACCAAAAGGTCAGAGGTTTGAACCCACCAGCTGCTCCATGGGAGAAAGATGTGGCAGTCTGCTTCTGCAAAGATTATAGCCTTGGAAACCCTACGTGGCAGTTCTACTCTGTCCTATAGGGTCACTATGAGTTGGAATCAACTTGATAGCAATGGATTTGATTAGACACATGCAGAAAGAGTAAAAGATGACAAGAAAAAGGTACACCAGAGTGTTCGTAATGGTCATTTCTTGGTAGTAGGATTATGGTGATTTTCATTCTCTTTATTCTATTTTTTTACATTTTGTACAATAGTTCCAATTTAATAATATAAAAAATTTACATCTAAAAAGTCTAACATTGATTATTTAAAAACCCTGAACATTAGCCATTTAATGTAACTTTCAAAGCTTTTAAAGTAGAAAAGAGCAGTAATATATATATATATATATATGTGTGTGTGTGTGTGTGTGTGTGTGTATATATATATATATATATATATATATATATGTTAATGACAACTTCTCCAAGCTTTATTCATGACTCCAAGCTTTATTCATTTTATTAATATAGTCTCCCTAAATCTATTTTTTATTTGAGTGTCTAAATGAAACAGAACATTTAAATTTGAACCTCTGCTACAATGATCCCTATTTTAAATTCATGCCTAAATAGTGCTTGGCAAAGGAATACTGTTTTCCTAACTTACAAAAAAATATAACCTTTTGATTTTAAAGATGATTTATTTACATTTTAAATGTGATTACCTTTGGAGATATATAGATTTGAAGCACTCTATTTTAAAATAGAAAATTAACAATTCAGCATTTCAGCCAGCCTATAAAGTAGTATTGTACATTGTTTTCACAAGTTATTTCCCCCTATGTTTAAAATGCCCTTCATAAAATCCAAATCTGATTCATTGCCTAGGTTTTAATCTTTCCCCACTAAAAAAATTAATTTTAAAAAATTCCATGTAAGATTCTCTTTTTCTTAAGATAAGTAAGTATTGCTGCAAGCCATCAAACAAAATTTAAATAAAAATGACAAAAAAAAAATCCACATACCTGAGACATGATCTGGTAAAGCATTATTGTATTTCCTTTCCTCTCCAGATTCCTCTTCAGAGAACAAAGAAATTAATGAAGAAATGGCATCCCTGTTACATTCTGTCAATTCCTCTTCAAATATATTCATTTTGATTGGCATTTTGGGATTACAATTCTTTCCATGTAGATTCAATGGTAACCTGAGCGGCTCATCAAAACATTCCACGCAACTTGACTTTCTGGTGTCCGCAGCACACACAGACTCTTGGGCTTTCTGACTAAGTTTTAAAGGCAAAGGGTTTATTTTGTCATCTAGAGATAGATGTAGTCCCAGTTCTGGTTGTTTCTCAGCTTCATCACTGTGTGGAAGCTGTTCTGTAAAGGGCTCCAGGGTGGCTTCTGCATCACCACCTGGGGAAAGTGGCATAATTGGTGGCACCAGGGCAAGCTCTTCTTTATCTTCCTTCCCAAGTAATGAAAGCTGCAACTCAATGGACTCTAGTTCTAAGAAGTCTTTTGGTTCACCATCAGGAGAAAGTGGCAACTCAAGTGAATTCAGTTCTGATACCTCCTTTGTTTCACTAGCACAAGGTGACAATTTGTTATGTCTCATACTTAGGTATTTATCAAGCTTTGTTTTGTCAACCAAATGACCCTCTACTTCACCTTCTAGAACATCACTACCAATTTTATCTGTGCATGAGTTTTCAAAAGCTTCAAAACTATCATTAGTTTCATGGTCATAGGATTTACATGGTTTACTTTCAATAATATTTAAATCCTCTTCAATTTTTTCAGAGATTTCATCTATCTGTGGTTCCACACGCAGTGCTTCATCCTGTTGAGTTTTACTACGTTGTTTCTTAGGTCCAACATCAGGACTAAGGTACCCAAAAGCTCCCTTTCTCTCTGGACCACATTTTTCATAGGATAGATCACCGTCAGTAATACCAATCTTAGAATATTTCTTCATTTTCTCGTTAATACTTTCACCCTTGCTTTTCAAGTCAACAATTGCTAAAGGGATATTACAAACATCCCTTTTGATCTGCAATATCGTTAGTTCCAACACATCTTCTGTTACTATTTCAAAAAAATAGTCATTTCCCTCTGGAGGGCACACTCCTTCTGAAATATTAAATCCTGAGAGGCAACATGGAAAAGCTTGCATGGGAACCAACAGAAGTTCAGAAGGAATATTCCAGAGTGCTTTTGGGTCCACACAGTCTTCAGTGTTTCCAAAGTCCACAAGCCTGACAGATACAAGATAATCTTCACAAACATTGGTGATAAGTGCCCTGTAATATTGTCCATCTTCTCTATATTTCACTATGCAAGGATCTCCAATATGAGGATATGTGATACAATTTCTCCACTTTGCTACAAGTTGTCCAGCAGTTTGTACTTCAGCTTCTAAATACTGAAGTCTCTCAGTATCAGCAAATTGACACCAAAAGTACTCAGGTCCCTCTATCACAGATGCATAAGCTCTTACTACCTTCATCTCTGGATTATACCAATTAAGAAATACTGAAATGTCAATGTTTGAGTTAATAGGCTTTGAATGGGTGCCTTTAATTACTCGAGTAGAAAGTCCTCCTTGAGATTTCTCACTGAAAGCGTATCTGCTAATCATATCTTCTGCTATGATCCCATGTTCATCAGCAAGAATAACTTCCCATCTATCTCGAAATTTAACAAATTCACATCTTATTTGAGCCTCATCTGTTCTTTGGGAAAAGTAATGCATCATTTCCTTACAGTTTATAATCTCAGAATCCCAGAATCCCTTTAACGAGCAATGAATGCACAGTCCTGGCAACATTGCATTGATTAGGTCAAGTGTACCTATTTTGTTAGTACAAACCACAGAAACATTGCCATAATCTATAAACTGTACAGATAAACGGTCATCAGTTTGTTGATCCTTGACCACAGCCCGATACCATAAATTGTCTTCCGGAAAAATGGCACATATTATATCTCCTCTTTGCAAAGGTGGACCTGCATAATATTCAGGTCTTGTTCTAACATTGTTTAATCTCTTGGAAAGATGATTAATTTCAGCTTCATCTTCCATTAGTTGAACATAAAAGTCTGAAAGGTCATTTATGTGAGAAACATAAACAGATGTTTTAAAACCAGGCAATATAGTCTTCTGAGGGAGCTCAGAAAATTTAAGAGGTATATCTTTATTATATTCTCCTGTTTTTCTCTCTGAAGCAATGGCTTCTAGTTTTGCGGCCTTCAATGGTGACTTAGCAAAAATTCCTTCCTTCTTTTCAGTTGTTAATAGAGACACTAGGTTATTTTTATCTCCCATGGAGTTCTGATGTTTAGGGACTAAGTTTGTCTTTGTTGCACTCTGTAAAAGTTTGGGTTCTTTACACACTGAGCTTATTTTAGGTGTGTATGATTCTCCCAAGATCTCCATCCTGTATAATTTGTCCTCTACTGATTTACTTAAATGTTCTGTAGGTAACAACTTCATATTTTTATTTTTTTCTTCAAGAGTTTCAGCTGTATAGAGGAGTGTTTTACTTTCTTCTGTTTTCCTTGCTCTATCGTTGTAACCAAGTAGCTCTAACTTCTCATTAATATTAGCATTAATTTGAATACTGCCATCATACAGTTCTATAATGAGTCTTCCATCTGGATCTTTTGCTACAACCAATGCCTTTAGTGACTTATCTAAAATAGTATCCTGAAACCATGCTGTAACTTCTTTTGGTATATGATTAGGAATATCAGATAATGAACATTTAACAGCTTGCATAGGTAAAAGTAAGACATCATATGCATCACTAGGTATAGGAAGCAGATCATCATTTGTTACTATATAAACATTCCCAAAATCAACAAAGAAGATTTTATTTGGTTCTCTTTCTACTACTATCCCCCTGTACCAGTTTTCATCAGTATACTTGGCAAGGTACAAGGTTCCACAGATCAACGGAGATGTTTTTAAATTCAGTAAAACTTTACTTAATTGTGTAATATTGTATGATAACTGTTCCAAAATGTTTGCATTTCTTGCCAGTTGACAATAAAATGTCCAAGGGTCATCAACATGTGTTATGTACACTGACTCCTCACTTCCAATTTTCATATCATGTGTAGAATAGTAGTAGGAGTGTAGCCGAAAAGAGGGCTCTAGAGGCTTCTTAAGTTTTACTGGTCTTGCAAGTCCCTTTTCTACCAAAGTGTGGCATGCACTCTGAAAAGGTGTTAGCAAATCTACAACATTAAAGAGTTCTTCATCATTTACAGACGCCAAAGCAAATATTGTGCATTTTAATTCTAGATTCCCTTCCCATGCATTATCTATAAACTCACTAAAAGCTTGTATTGCCTTTTCATCCCAAACAGAAGGATTCTGACCAATTGGTTGAATTAAATTATACAGACTGCATCTAAAAGCCTGAGCCTTAACCTTAAGAAACTCTTCACTAATTGAGTAAATATTCTTCACGGAGACCATGTCTTTGTCTCCATAATCTACAAATATTACTTTGACATGCTCTGCAGATTGTGCCCCACTAATCAGAGCTCTGGACCATTTTCCATTTACTGTTCTTTTTACCAAACAAGCTGGGGTGGTTCCCTGATAAGGAGTAGCTATATTTTTGCAATAGTCCTGAATATTACACATTAGAGTTCTAAAACCTTGAATGTTCCTAGTCAGCTGGCACCAGAAATAGCCAGGGTTTTCAACATAAGACACTGTGACTTCTACTGTACTTCCAACTTCTAGCTCTCCTTTATAAGAAGAACCTGGCTTAATTTTCAAGGAATTCTGTGTAAGTGAAGTATAAACAGATGTTCTTTTCTCTTTTTCCTGAAAACCCAGTCCAGCTGAAACATTTGTAACAACTGTTTTGCCAGTCAAAACTTCTGAAATTGTAGTTTTAAGATCTGGCTTTCCTCCCTGGTCTATTTCTACCTTCCTGATAGAAGATATTTTGCTATGCTCTGCAGTAAAATGGCTTGAAATATGCCCTGGGGAGTGGGCACTTAGTGGGATGTGATCCTTTGTTTCAAATTCCTGATACTTGGCATATCCACCTTGAGCAATTACTTTACTGATGTTTTCTTCCCCAGTTCTTGATTCATCAAGAATCTCAATAATATATTGATGATCTTGCTTATCAAGGACATGTATAACTAATTCTTTGTGGAGCACAGTCTTTTTAAAGAAGGAAATTGCTTCCTGACTCCAACTTTTCCCCAAAGGCCAAATATCTGCTAGAGTGCACTTCAGAGCCAATATTGGTAGCCGCCTAAACTGAGGAAGCAACATTCTTACGTCATGCCAGTCTACATTTTCTGAATTGCCTCGGTCAACCAGGAATACATCTACACTTTTGTCATCTAATCGGGTGACGGTGGCCCGATAATAGCCATTTTCTTTCCACTTGACACAGCAAAGGTCATCAGGTTCAGGTTTCAAAACTACACCTTTCAGCTTAGTGGCCGAGGAATAGAAACTACACATTCTCCTCATCAACTTGTTGAAGGTGCCATTGTGTTTCCTCAACCTAATCCAAAACTCAGAAGGATTTTTAACAAACTCTACCTGGGCATCATAGAAGGCATTCAACTTTAACCTGATAGATCTTAAGGTGGGGAGTGAAATCTCTTCATCCATTTCTTCAGAAAGAGACTGAGAGTGAAGAGCTGTTTCTGTTTCTTCTTCCTCCTCCTCTTCCTCATCTATCCCCTGATTCTGAAGGAATCTGTCAGCCAAGCAACATGACTGTACTCCAAATACACAGTTAAGATTAATTCCATCTTCTCCATACAGTGTGACATAGTACACATGCTCAAAGGAACAATAAAATTCAATCTTTGCATTCACTGCCTGGCCCAGTATCAGTGCTTTCAGGTCACCAATCTGTGATCTAGACCAGCCTCTCCCACGGTCCCAGAGTCCATACAAAGCACAAGGGTAGGTCACCACAGGCATCCGGAAATACTCAGGCAGCAAGTACCGAAGACTACTACAACTCACTAACTCTTTTCTTCCATAGTCTACGTGAAGGACCTGGGCACAGCACTGTGGCCGAAAAGTTTCAAGCAAGAGCGCCCTGTACCAATGTCCATCTAGTCCACAGGAAGCACAAGGAGCACCTGGCTTGTCTGGGTTCTCTTCCTTTCCCTCCCTCTCCTCCCAGGTGGCTCTGGTACAGTTCTCATCTCCTGTCCTCTTCGACCCGTGGTATACCTGGGCCATGCTCTCAGAGAGGTGGCGAATCTCCTGCGAGAGGCTGCGAAGCTGGCAGTGAATGCGGTGGGGATGGCATACTTGGGTTACCACTACTGGCTCCGTCACGCCCATTTGCAGCTGGGGATAGAAGTAATCTAGACCAAGTTGTTCTTGCTTAGGCAGGACTCGTGGGAGAACGGGTGTCCCGGGGCCCATGCCTTCAGCGGCCGCTTTGAGGTAGCGCTTCAGCAAGGAGCGGAAGAGGCTGTCGGGCACCAGGCGAGCCAGGCCGAGCTCCTGCATCTGCTGGAACAGACCAGGCACCTCCAAAAGGACCAGGCGATGGGGGTGCAGCACGTCCAGGACCCGCCCGTGCACTTCCTTGCCCTGCAGGCTGCTAAGGAAGTCCACGGCACTGGATGGCCAATGCTGGGGCTCGCCCCCGCCAACGCCGCCGCGGGCCGCAGGCACCAAGCCCGCCAACACGCAGCCCAGCACCTCGGAGGGCAGGTGGAAGAACTCGCTGCGCCCGGGCGCCAAGGAGCCAGCACCCGCTTTGATGGTGCGGCCCTCGTCCAGGAGGAAGACGCGGGTCTCCTGCGCCTGCCGGCTGACTATGCGGCAACGATGCCACATCAATCCCACCTGCACCAGGCACAGCTCACCCCGTGAGGCTGAGGCGCCACCCAGCCCCCACGCGCCGCACGTGGCCGCCGCCTCCTGGATCTCCTGGCTCAGCCGCACGTACTCTTCCCGCCGCTCGCCCACCAGCCCCCATAGCTGTACCGGGATCACCTCGGGTTGCACATCCACGAAGGACACCTGCAGGGCTAGCGAGGCTCCCGGCGTCGGCAGCAAGGAAGTCGAGCACATCTCCGCGGAGCGGCACGGCCACCGCGCACCGAGCGGTCAGGGACCCTCGTTAGGGCTGTGAAACCCCCCGCCGTGCTGCAAGGAAAGTCCCACAAAACCTGGCCCAAAAGAATAGAGAACCGAAAGGAAACCCGGCGCAGCGCCCCTTGAGCACCGGGACTCACAAAATCCCACGAACTGGTAAATCCGGCGGCCAGACCAACCGCTCACAGTTGCGCAGCCGCACAGGAATTTGTGGCGCGCGGAGTCCAGTTTCCTTCCGCGGGCTGCAGACCCGGCCTACTTGAGCAGCCAGGGAGTGGACTGTGCCAAACAGGGGCTGAGGATTTGGCTAAGGACTGAGGGGACATCGAAGGACATTCTGGAGGCAATGAGGTAAGGAGGATTGGGATACAATGTGCTTCTTCTCTGAGCGCCTTCGACAAAGTGCTGAGGTCTGGCTTTGGGGCTCTGCTTAGGATCAAACGAAAAGTCATTTCCTTTCGTCTGCGCTGCGTGCTAGGCTGCGTGCTAGGTAGGCACTGTAATTCTCAAAGAGCGATCAAGAAATGGAGATGCAGGAGTTAGGGGCTGGACCTCAAGAGGACCCTGGGAAACCCGCTCGCCTACGGAGACAGCGCAACCGGATTCCAAGCTTGAGCAGTGCAGGTGCGTTTGCGTCCCGATGGTGGGGCTTAGAGTCTGTTCTTTTGCTCACTCGGCGTATTTGTGCCTTGGGCTAGAAGTTACGTTCTAAGGCGCTGTGGAGTGAGTTTGGACTCATAGCGACCTTATGTACAACAGAATGAAACATTGCCCTGATGCCGCGCCATCCTCAGTTGTTGCTATGCTTGAGTGCAGTGTTGCAGTCACTGTGTCAATCCATCTCTTTTAGGGTCTTCCCCCTTTTCTCTGACTCTCTACTTTACCAGCATGCTATGCTTCTTCAGGGACCGATCCCTCCTGATAACATGACCATGTAGGGGAGACAAAGTCTGGCCCTTCTTACTTCCAAGGAGCATTCCAACTGTACTTCTTCCAAGACAGATTTATTCTTTCTTCTGGCAATCTTTGGTTTATTCATTGTTCTCCGCTACAATTCAAATGAACCAATTCTTCTCTGGTCTTATTTATTGTCCAGCTTTCACGTGCATATGAGGCACATGAAAAGACAATGACTTGAGGTCAAGTGCACCTTAGTCTTCAAAGTAACATCTTTGTTCTTTAACTTACGTTCTCTGAAGCGCCATGGTATCACTAGGGTTGGTTTCACCCAGTGCGTACTTATGGTGTCACCCGGGTAGTTGGGACCCATCAGCGCACACTCCTGGTAAGCAGAGTGGCCAGGACCCACACTGCCTCCTGGGCTGCTCCAGGGTCCCGGAGCTCGAGCCCTTCACTTTCCCATTGACCAATGGGGAGACCTCTCTGCCCAAGGGCACCCCTTCTGTGTCAGGAGGTGCATTCTCACCTCTCCCACTCTCCTAGTGTTGCCACTAATGAAGCTGATTATCTGAATTGATAGAGTTATAATGAGGGTTAAAATAAAACATGAGAGTAGATAGCTGCCATCAAGTAGATTTATGGCAACTTTACAACAGAACTAAACCTTGCAAGTCTTGAGTTATCCTCACATTTGAGGCCATTATTGCAGGTATTGTGCTGATTCATTTTACTAAGAGTAGCTGGTCTTACAATGCAAGACCAAATGCAGTGTCCTCCTCCAGCAATTCTACAACTCCTCTGTCAGTTTGTTGTACTGTGGTGGCTTATGTGTTGCTGAGAGGCTGTTAAAATGTCCATGTGTATTTCAGATACCAACAGGGCCACCCATGGTGGACAGATTTCAGCAGAGCTTCCAGACTAACTTAGAAGCAGCAAGTGGCCATCCACTTCTCAAAGAATTGGCCAGTGAAAACCTTATGAATAGCAGTGACACACTGTGTGATGTATTACTGGAAAAGTTCATGAATAACTCTGAAACATTGTCTGATATAGTGTGGGAAGATAAGCCTCAATGATGTGGATGGAGTAAAGCTTTCAGGACTTTAACTTGCTGATGGGGCATGACTCAAAATAAGAAGAAACAGCTGTAAACATTACTAACTGGAACATGGAATGTATGAAGTATGTTGCTGTTGTATGAAGTATAAACCTAGGAAAATTGGAAGTTGTTAAAAATGAAATGGAATGCATAAAGAACAATATCCTAGGCATTAGTGAACTGGAATGGACAGGTTTTGGCCATTTTGAATCAGACAACCATATGATCTACTATGTGGAGAATGACAAATTGAAGAGGAAAAGCGTGGCATTCAAGATCACAAAAAATGTTTCAAGATCTATCCTGAAGCACAATGCTGTCAATGACAGGATAATATCCCTACACCTAAAAGGAAGTACAGTTACTACTACTTTTATTCAAATTTATACACCAACCACCAAAGCCAAAAACAAGGAAATTGAAGATTTCTTCCAACTTCTGCAGACTGAAATTAACCAAATATGCAATCAAGAGGTATTGATTATTACTGGTGATTGGAATGCAAAAACTGGAAACAAAGAAGGATTACCAGTAGTTGGAAAACATGGCCTTGGTGATAGAAATGATGCTGGAGATCGCATGATAGAATTTTGCAAGACCAATGTCTTATTCATTACAAATACCTTTTTTTCAACAACATAACCTGTAGCTATACATGTGAATACATAGGAATCAGATCAACTACATCTATGGAAAGAGGGGATGGAGAAACTCAGTATCTTCAGCCAAAATGAGACCAGGAGCTGACTGTGGAACAGATCATCAACTGCTCATATGCAAGTTCAAGATGAAGACGAAACAAGTCCACAAGATCAAAAATATGACCTTGAATATATCTCACCTGAATTTAGAGACCATTTGAAGAATAGATTTGACACATTGAACACCAATGACCAAAAACCAGATGAACGGTGGGGTGACATCAAAAACATCATCCAGGGCAAAAGATCATTAAAAAGACAAGAAAGGAAGAAAAGACCAAAATGGATGTCAGAAGAGACTCTGAAACTTGCCCTTGCATGGAGAGTTGTTGTTGTTGTTATGTGGCATCAAGTCAGACCCGACTCATAGCGACCCCTCCTTGGGTTTCCAAAGCAGTATCACCACGGAAGTAGATTGCCCCATCTTCCTTCCGAGGAGTGGCTGGTGGGTTTGAACCGCCAACCTTCTGGTTAGCACTCAAGTGCCTTAGGCACTACGCTACCAGAGCTGAATGGAGAGTAGCTAAAGCAAATGGAAGAATCGACAGGATAAAAGAGAAGATTTCAAAGAGCAGTTCGAGAAGACAAAATCAATTATTATAATGAAATATGCAAAGACTTGGAGTTAGAAAAACAAAAGGGAAGAACACACTCAGGATTTCTCAAGCTGAAAGAATTGTTGTTGTTGTTGTTGTTATGTGCCGTCGAGTCGCCCCCCGACTCATAGCGACCCCTCCTTGGGTTTCCGAGGCAGTATCACTACGGAAGTAGGATTGCCCAACCTTCCTTCCGAGGAGTGGCTGGTGGGTTTGAACCGCCAGCCGTCTGGTCAGCAGGCAAGTGTCTTAGCCACTATGCTACCAGAGCTGAAAGAATTGGGGGGAAAAAATTTAAGCTTCAAGTTGCAATATTGAAAGATTCTATGGGAAAAATATTGAATGATGCAGGAAACATCAAAAGAAGATGGAAGGAATACACAGAGTCACTATACCAAAAAGAATTGGTTGACTTTCATTTATTTCAGGAGGTGGCATATGATCAAGAACCAGTGGAATTGAAGGAAGAAGTCAAAACTGCACTGAAGGAAGTGGCAAAAAACAAGGCTCCAGGAATTAGTGGAATATCCATTGAGAGGTTTCAACAAATGGATACCACACTGGAGGCACGTACTCATCTATACCAGGAAATTTGGAAGACAGCTACCTGGCCAGCTGACTGGAAGAGATCCATATTTGTACCTATTCCAAAGAAAGGTGATCAAACAGAATGTGGGAATTATCAAACAATATCATTAATACCACACACAAGCAAAATTTTGCTGAATATAATTCAAAAATGGTCGCAGCAGTATGTTGACAGAGAACTTCCAGAAATGCAATCTGGATTCAGAAGAGGAAATGGAACAAGGGATATCACTGCTGATGTCAGATGGATCTTGGCTGAAAGCACAGAATACCAGAAAGATGCCTGTGTTTTATTGACTATGCAAAGAATTTGTGTGGATCCTAACAAATTATGGATAACACTGAGAAGAATGAGAATTCCAGAACACTTGCTTGTGCTCATGAGGAACCTGTACATAGACTAGAAGGCTGTCATTCAAACAGAACAAGGGGATACTACATGGTTTAAAGTCAGGAAGGGAGTGTATCAGGGTGGTATCCTTTCACCATACTTATTCAGTCATATCAGGGTGGTATCCTTTCACCATACTTATTCAGTCTGTATGCTGACCAAATAATCTGAGAAGCTGGACTATATGAAGAAAAACATGGCATGAGGATTGGAGGAAGACTCATTAACAACCTGTGATATGCAGGCAATACAACCTTGCTTGCTGAAAGTGAAGATGACTTGAAGCACTTACTGATGAAGATTAAAGACTACAGTCTGCAGTATACCCATATATTATGAAGCATAATATCCTTCTCCTCAACATAAAGAAAACAAAAGTCTTCACAACTGGACCAATAAGCAGCATCACGATAAATGGAGAAAAGATTGAAGTTGTCAAAGATTTCATATTACTTGGATTCACAATCAACACCAATGGAAGCAGCAATCTAGAAAGCAGACAGGGCCTCCCAGCCAAACAGAAGACAGGCATATGAGCTGAACATTTTCATTCGGTAGATACACTCCTTGGAGAGATCAATCATGGGAGAATAGAAGGGCTGTGTATGCACAGGGAGACAGCCTAGAGGGTAGGAGTGCATGGGAGGGAAGGACACAGGGAAGAGGTAGGTATGGGGAGGAAGTGGGAGGAGAGCTGTTGC